GTAGGCCTCTCAGCCACACAGCAAAACCCATCCTATAGGCAACTTTGTGTGCTCCCAGGCATAAGAATTTTGTTCTGTGCTATTGCATTTTAAGGGAGGTTGTAGCTGTCTTAGATGTTAACACTCGGAGGAGCAATTGACAAATGTTACACATTGCTTTTCTCTGCACAGCCTGATTGTGGCAGACACTGATCCCAGCTTGTGAATCACCTCAGCCCTGCATGTCTGGACAGCAGCTGGGTCCTGCCAGGTACTGAAGGAGGTACAGATCTCATAAGGGTGTCATGTCTTGACCACACTCATGGACCAGATAATGGAGAGGAGGAGAAGGAAGGAATGAGGTCTTGAGCTGTTACCCCCACAGTGAAGATTATTTTTCATGTTCACCACTGCCACTCTTTGCATCCAGGATCTCTCTGATGGCCACTGGCTGCAGAGTAGCCAGGGATGTCTTCATCAGCTGCAAGGGAAAGGACACAAAGTAAAATCCACTCAGGGACTCCTCCGCACAGGTTCAATACCTTTTTCACTGAACAGATTGGAAATGTTGGCACAGAATGAAGGACCAGGTAGGGATGCACAACATTAATGAGTCTACAGAAGAAAAGGAGGTGGCTCACGGAGAGAACCAGGGCCAGCCACTAACATGCAGTGGAGGTCCTGCAGGGTGCCCATCTGCCTCTCAAGATGAGGGAGAGAGGGCAACACATCCCCTCTAGACTGGCCTGAAGAGACAGAGACAGCATGGAAGAAGGAGAAGAGTGGAAGAAGGAAACAGTNATGGGAAGGGGAGGGCGGGGGCAGCTGGGGCTGGCTGGTTTCTTGGGCCGGAGAGGAAAACACTCTCTCGGAGCTGTTGCGGTTTAGAGAGGGGAATTCGCCATCACCCAGATGGAGCTGCTGCTTCTTCTTCCCTATTCACTGGTGGCCTCACACCCTCTGTCCTGCCAGGACGTGTGGCAGTGCCAACCACCACTGTGGAGCTGCTGATGCTCCTCAACCACTGGCCCGGGATCTCAGCTCATCCCTGCTGGTCCAGCTGAGTGTTCCTCAGAGCCCTGCAGGAGCACCAGGACTGCCCTGTCGTTCCGATTGGGAACGGCGATAAAGAACGACACGGACTCTCAAGGGAGTCACAACACGAGAATTCCCCGGTTTATTACTTCAGGCCTGTTTTATAGACTGGTACGTGGAAAGTACAGAAAAGAAACTCTTATTAGTTAGCAAAGTGCTACATCACCATCATTGGTCAGGGGGGCTCACCACCCCCCTGACTCCCTCCTGCAAGGAGAACAAGAGGACAGACAAACAGCACCTGGCAGTTGTTTTCTGTCTCTGAGGATTGTTTTGAAATCCTCCTATGAATTTCCCAGGCTAGCTTCTCAGGCAGGACTGAGAGGCCATGGGCCTGCGGCCTGCTCCAAAGCTAGCATCCATACTGCCCGCCCGAAGGGGTTTGTGAAGCAAAGCCTCTCCTCCATCCCTTCCCATTTCAGCTGAGAAAGCTGTCATGGGATCCCTGGTTCTGTCGTTAACACTGTAGTTACTGTTGTTTGTGTGCCTTGTTATACACACTAGTAAAGAACTTATTCCTATCCCCAGATCTCTGCCTGAGAGCCCCTTGATTTCAAAATTACAGTAATTTGGAAGGAGTGGGGTCATTTTCATTCCAAGGGAGGCTCCTGCCCTCCCTAGCAGACACCTGTCTTCTAAACTGAGACAATACTGCACAGTCAATGGCCATCAGGAACGGAGAGGCTCCAAAGGCTCACAGGAGTGGGTTGATGTGAATTGATACGTCCAAGTCACCAAACCACAGCTGAAATGCAAAGAGTAGATTTATTTCATTACCTCATTAACTGAAAGGTACCAAGGCACTGCCAGGCTGCAGAGACACATAAAATGGGAACAGTGGCACCATTAGGGTCAGTCCAATCCTGGTGGGTCACTGACTGTCCCAGTATCTCAAGGGGTCTCATGTGAAGTTTCCCACATGGATATTCTCAGCCTTCCCACCTAAAAGGTCACTTTGTGCAAATCCATCATTCTCCTCTCCAAGTCTTTCAGTTTCAACCTTTTTCTCCCAACAGCCGGGAAACAGCAACGTCTGGAAACAGCTACAACCTCATCTCTACCTCCTCCTCCCCTCCATTACCCAGTCTAGGGTCCACAGCCTGCACACAGAAGCACAGGCAGAGGAGGTGCACATCTCACAGGGGCTCTCAGCTCATGCAGTGCCCAGCTCTGTCCAAAGATGCAGTGCATTTCAGAAGTTAGGATTGGTATCAGCCATATTCAGGATACGCAGTGGTAAATGACTTTTGGTTGAGTTTGTACAAAAGACTTTGGGCTTCACTATTAATTCACATTTCTCCCATGTATGGATAGATGTAATCTGTCCATCAATGCCTTCTTGACTGAAGCCTTTGACCAAACCTGTGCCCAAGGGGGACTGCAAGGCAGACAAAGGAAGATGGACCCTGGTGAAGACAAGGTCTGCCATGGACAGCCCACAGATCGAGAGTCATCAAATGGTTTAGGTTAGACAATCTTGTCCCACCGCGCTGCCATGGGCAAGGACACCTTCTACCGGACCAGGCTGCTCAAAGCCTTGCTGTCATCGAAAACTGGGAAATAAACTCTCCAACCAATTTCCTGTGTCAGAAAGGTGACGTTACTTTATTAGCAGAGCTGAATGCATGAGGATGTCTCCTCTAAGCATGGCCAGTAACCTAATAGACCAGGTTGTACTCTGAAAACAAATACATATTCATCACTTTATTGAATACATGCATGTATGTTAATTATGTCCATCGTCTTGTTTGGATATGGTTCCAGATCTTCTGATGAATCTTTTCTCTGTGAGAGTATCTCAAATATGTGGTCAGGTCATAAAGTACTTCTCTCATTATTCTTCACTCTGACACACAGTACTTGTTCTCATTTTGGGGTTTAGGATTTTTCTTTTTGTTTCTATCTCTCATGGAATTTTGTCCCATCTGTTGCCAAGAAACCATAACAACTGATACTTAAGAGAGACAAAAGAAATTGCCATGGGAAAGATGCAGCTGGCTGCTCTCTTAGCTGGAGAGTTTCTCTTGGAGGGGCAGAGATACTGTGGTTTTTCAGTTTTTCAGCTGGGTTAAAGGGAGCTGGGCAATTGCCATTGCTTTCATGGCATTCGGAGAAAAGCAGGCTGCAGTCGTTGTGGGGAGAGTTCACCACCACTAAGTTCAATCTCCTGCTGACCTCCTACAGTGAGAGAAGTTCTCTTTGTGGGAGTGGCCGTTGCACTGGGACCTTATTACCTATCTCACTAGAGGGGGACCCTTCTCACCATTTCTTCACATGCCTCAGGGGAAACTCTGGGACCCTGGGCCCTTTCCTGCTCCAGGAAAGCTTCTTCCGGCCGCATTCGGCAGCTGGGCCGCTGCTGCTGAGTTTCTGCTGCCTCTTGCTTGCTGCCCCAGTGAGCGTGCCCTGCAGTTCCAGCTGCCGCTCCGAGGTTCCTGCTGCAGCCCGTCCATCACCGCCTGAGGGAGACGCGGCCGAGCCCTCACCACAGCGCCCCCTGCAGGCGCGGGGGAATCACCGCACCCGCCCTGCCCGGCCGGGAGCCACCAGCGCCCCTGCCGGTCGTGCCCGGAACTGCAGCCAAGGGGAAAGCGCCTGCGGCCGAGACACCTGACCCTGGTGTCTGGTTCTTTTTGGTGCTGCTGCCGGGATCTGAAAAGAACTGTTATTTCTTTTCCCATCTCTTTGCCTGAAAGCCCCTTAATTTCAAAGTTATAATAATTTGGAGGGAAGGGGGTCATATTCTCCATTCCAAGGGAGGTTCCCGCCTTCCTTGGCAGACACCTCTCTTTCAAACCAAGACATTGCAAAACTAAGATATTGGCTACTACATATTAATCACTGGTACAGGTAAATGAAGAAGCGTTAGCTGACACAAGACTTATCAATCACAGATGTAGGGAGTTAACACAAGGTCACATTAATCTCTGGAATTTATAATAAGCACTGCCTGCTACAAAACTAAGCATTAACCATTAATACAGAAACATACACTATGTGCTAAAGTCAAAAGAATTTTCCAGCATCTTCCCCCATTGCTGCAGACTCCTTGAAGAAATAGAACTTTTTAAGTAACAAATTCCCCCTTTGAGACTTTAATATCATTTCTTTAAAATGTCATAGCCAGTTGTTTTATTGCCCAAGTCTGCACAGCAGTAAGCACTGAATTAAGCAACAAATGATTAAGGTCATGAGTACCACATGAAATCCTGGTAAGTGCAAGAGATTGTTTTAACCATCCTAAGTTTAGGAGTATGGGGCCATGAAACCAGCCAAGAGAAAGCTAGTCCTGTCTCTCTATCACTTCTGGCTGGATTCTTTAGTTGTTTCTTTCTTTTCTATTAGTCCAGAGTTATTGGAAAGATTGAATCGATACATTCCTTTAAATTCCTCACATCCCTGATTATGTCTCAACACCAAGTAGTCAATTGCTGCTCGATTTTCAAAGGCAGCTTCTCTGACTTGTGTCATTTATGTACTTTGGGCTGTTAATGATTGTGAAGTGTAATTTATATTTTTAACTAAAGCACACATGGTTCTCTTTATGGTGGGATAGTTCACCTCAGCGCCAGGTGTTCAAAAGTTCCAGTTCACTCTCACTGCACAGGGTCACTTGAGAATCACAACCCTCTGTCAACTGATGAGCTGAGTTTTCTCTTTTGTGCTTCACATTGGTGAAATAGTTACTTGGTGAAATAGTAGAAGAGTTAATCTACCAGTGGCAATGAGCTCTCAAGAAATATTGGCCAGGACATATGAGTAGGCCTCTCAGCCACACAGCAAAACCCATCCTATAGGCAACTTTGTGTGCTCCCAGGCATAAGAATTTTGTTCTGTGCTATTGCATTTTAAGGGAGGTTGTAGCTGTCTTAGATGTTAACACTCGGAGGAGCAATTGACAAATGTTACACATTGCTTTGTTCACCACTGCCACTCTTTGCATCCAGGATCTCTCTGATGGCCACTGGCTGCAGAGTAGCCAGGGATGTCTTCATCAGCTGCAAGGGAAAGGACACAAAGTAAAATCCACTCAGGGACTCCTCCGCACAGGTTCAATACCTTTTTCACTGAACAGATTGGAAATGTTGGCACAGAATGAAGGACCAGGTAGGGATGCACAACATTAATGAGTCTACAGAAGAAAAGGAGGTGGCTCACGGAGAGAACCAGGGCCAGCCACTAACATGCAGTGGAGGTCCTGCAGGGTGCCCATCTGCCTCTCAAGATGAGGGAGAGAGGGCAACACATCCCCTCTAGACTGGCCTGAAGAGACAGAGACAGCATGGAAGAAGGAGAAGAGTGGAAGAAGGAAACAATGTCCAAAACCTCAGTCATGACCCCTCACATTGCAGTTCTTAGGCATGTGAGCAAGAACAAGAGCAGAGCTCCTTCATGACAATTTTGACACAAACAAACCACTCAGAAATGGCACACGAGAAAATCACCTGCCCACAAGAGATGCTGCTGGCACTTGATCAGAGACTTCTGCCTGTGCTGACGTAATTCCGCGCCGGAAATCCTTGGACTTATCCTCCCAGCACTTAAAAAAGTAGCCCTTCATATAGGAAAGCAAGCGAAATTACCAGGAAATGAAAAGGCAGCAATGCAGGAAACCAGGACACAGCCCTACCATTAGCTGGGATGGTGCACATTTGACATGAGCTGGTCAGAAAATTATGCCTTCCACAAAGGTGCCTCTGAGCCTGAGGCTGGGCAGGACTGCTATAAAAGGCAGCCCAAGTCTCTGCTCTCTCATCCACTTCTCTCACCTCCTTCTCCTCAGGAATCCTCAGGTGAGTGCAAAGATCCTGCTCCTGCTCCTGCTCCTGCTGCTCCAAGAGCAGCTCTTTCCTGGCTGTAGGTCTCAGCTGAGACGGGATTTGGGAGCACAGGGCTGGGAGCTGCTTCTGCTGGGAGAGGGCAAGGGAGGGAAGGTCTTGGGCAGACAGACGGAGGCTGCGACTGGCCTGAGAGGGGCTCCTGGGCTTTGAACTGGGCACTGCAATGTGGGCCAGGAGCTGCCTTGGCTGCAGGGTGTTTGGGTGCAGTGCTGCTCCTCATGTGTCCCCACTTTCTGCTCCCTCCCTGTCCTCTGTGCCAGGTGCACCTGTGACCCCGAGCCATGTCCTGCTGCAAGCCCTGTGACCCTTGCTGCCAGCCCTGCGGCCCCTGCCCGCTGGGCAGCAGCTGCAATGAGTGCTGTGTCAGGCAGTGCCAGAGCTCCCATGTCGTCATTGAGCCGCCTGCTGTGCTGGTGACCCTGCCCGGCCCCATCCTCAGCTCCTTCCCACAGAACACCGCCGTGGGATCCTCCACCTCTGCTGCCGTTGGCAACATCCTCAGCTGTGGCGGAGTGCCCATCAGCTCCGGGGGCTTTGACATCTCCTGCATCACCAACTGCTATGGTGGCAGCAGATGTCGTCCCTGCTAAATCTGCTGGTATCGTCTTTGGGCAAGAGCATCTACTTTTCCATTTTTCACCTTGTTCTCTCTCCTTCCTTTGTTTTCCATATCTCCCCAGGCCAGCCTAGCAGGAGCTGGTGGCCTCCCTCCCTCTGCAGGCCAGGCATCTTTATGGCAGTTTTTAGTGCTCCATCTGAGCCACTTCCTTTTCTTCTTTTGACTCATTAAATTTGTTTTGCATCAAAATCTTGGCCCCAGAGTCCTCCTTTATTCTATGACAACTCTTTAGTGAGCTCAGGGAGAAATGTTGTCTTTGAAGAGGATTAGGTTGGGCACAAAAGGGACCCTTCCTCATTCCCACAGGAAGGAGAACATAGGACTCACTAACCTGGGTTGTCTTTTGTGCCCTGTCCCTTGGAGGTGAAGGAGGTGCTCCTGACTACTTCAAACCAATTACCACCACTCCATGAAGCCTTGCTGCATCTCTTCCCACATCAGGCTGGAGCACTGTTGTCTGGAACACGCTCTGTGAAAGGGGAGCTGCCCAACCACCGCTGCCTTTGAGTGAGGAGCGCATGGTTAGGAGGGCAGTATGAGGTCAGCAGCCCCTTTGACTCCTGGGGAACAGATCTCTCAAGAGGTTTTTTTTGGGGGTAGACAGCTTAAATAGAGGATGACACCAAAGGGTGGCAGGAGTGAGGAGACAGAAATATCTGGGAAGAGTCCATAATCTCACCTCTTGCTTTCCCATTTCCCCATTACCTTATCTAGGATCCATGGCCAGTGCACACAGGCATAGGTAGATGTGGCCCATATGGTCCTTCAGCACCTGGCAGGGCTAAACATCCCCATGGGGACTGCAGCTCCCAAAGTGCCCAAAGATCTGTGGCTGCCCTGTGGTATTTCGTCTCCTCCAAGTTTGGGGCATCTTTATTTAGTCCTCTTAAGTCTGCACCACTGCCAAATACCAGCTTTGCTCTGGAATGGCTCCTTGCAAAAGCAGTTATCCCTCTGTCCCCACTGGGTGTTGTAGTGACAAAGGAATTGCCTGAGCAGTCAGGGATTGGATTTGGAAAGTTAAATCCCTGACAGAATTAAAGCTGGCCTGGGACATCAAGGACAATAGAAAAAGTTTCCAGAAGTATTCTGCTGATAAAAGGGAGACAGGAAAAATATGGGCCCTGTCCAGAAGGAAAAAGGAGACCTATCTACCCAGAGCATACAGAAAGCTGATATATTCGAGGACTCCTTTTTTGCTTTGATCTTCACTGACAGATGCTTCAGCTACATCACCTGAGTTGCAGAAGGCAAAAGTACAGGCTGGCACAGGTTGCTCAGAGAAGCTGTGACTGCCCCATCCCTGGAAGTGTCCAGGGCTGGGTTGAACAGGGTTTGGCTGATGTACAGGTGCATGGCTGGGAATAGAATTTTCTTCCTCTGGCTATTTTGGCTAGGAGATAAAACTACAACAGAAATGTCTCACATGGAGAGATCTCTAAACTGTGCTTCAGAGGAGGCTGAGGGAAGGATTAGAACAGGACAAGCCAGTCAGACATATCTTTTTAATACCATTCCCATACCACAGTTAGTTTCAGCTCAGGGTGAGTTGGTGGAGCCTGGCGTGGTCCACATGGCAGTCCTCAAGAGCTCCTTGAACCTGGACTTTGCTCTTTTCCCAAGCCTCTGGATCTGGACCCAGGATGCTGCTAATGGTGTTAGTCTCCACTGCAGAGGCTGGGGAGGAGATATCCAACCTCATCACCATGCCAATAGGTCACTACTGGACAAGCTGAGGTCAGACCTGCACACAAACAGTGCTGTAGGGGGAGCCACTCCACAGGGAACATATACACAACTAAATAATATTAATTGTTAAGGCTGGAAAAAACACTTAAGATAAAGTCCATGCTGGGTGTACGCTGCTACTGGCATTGCCATTGATATATATTTGGATTATACTGCAATAATTAGGTACTGCAGCTGTTAGCAGGGCTATCTTTTCATTGAGATGCTGACAATCCATTGTCAGTCATAATCTCCTGCCCAACTTTTGAACTAATCAAAATGGTAAATTATATAAGAAGCAGGTTCTGGAAATAACCTGTAATATTTCCAAATAATCTACAACTTCAGAAGCTCTTTTTCACACAGCAGAAGTTGTGTATTGTGGTACATTAGTGATCCTTGAGTCAGAGAGTTCAGACTTTCAGAGGGCACACACATTTTAACCTCCAAGTTTTAGATTATTTTTATCAGGGTTAGTGTCAATATTTGAACCAAAGGACCACACACTGCCATTGGCCAGGTGCCAGGTTTGAGTCTTCAAAACATCAAAGCCACAGATGTTTTCTTTGTGGTCTTTAAGTTCGGCTTCTCACCCAGGAACCATAAATTAATCCCTGTGGTTTGGCACTTAGCTCTTACTCTGTTTATTTCAGTGGTTTTAAGTCTTTGCCCTCCAGGATACAGCTTCTCAGCTGTGTTAATATTGAAATTTGTGCTCCCATATCTATTCCAAATGTCATTGTTGATGAGGACTGACACAAATAAAAATATATGATCATTATAATCATATACTGATAAGCTTCCACTCAACTGACTGACTGGCCCATTTGCCATCCAGCTGTTTTTTGAGTTTTGATCTTGAATTTGGAGAGAGAAAGTTATTACCCTGTCTTGTAGCTGGTCATGGTGTCCGAGTATTTGGAGTATTTTCTGTCAGATTGCTATTGCTGTGATATGAATTAAACTCTGGATGACCCCAGCAGGCTGCCTCTGAATTGCAGCTCTTGGAATGCCTAAAGCTAATGCTTGATTATATAAACTCTCCACCTCTGAGTTCTGTTTGGACATTTAGTGGGTTCTAGTTCCCAGGAGCTATTAATTTGCCTAAAATTGCAGTCTGTATCTTTGGTTTCAAGGTAGATCACTCAATCTCATCTCTTGCCCACAGCTCATGGTGTTGTGCATTAATGTTGCCCGGGCAGGGAGATTTCTGTACATTAGGGCTTCTTCCTAATCCTCAGCAACCTCCCTTATGGTCAACATGGCATTAAAATCTGTCTCTTTCCTAATGTTATCTCTTTTTGTGAAGAGGTAAGGTTTGAGTATGACATGTCATATCTTGTCACAGTTCATAGTTGTCTAAGGAGGAATATTCAGGGCTGTGCTCATGCATAACCTGGCTGCAGTCAGATTTTGTAATAGCTTTGGAAAATACATTCAGGGATCTAATGGGTACTAGATTAGCCTTCACAGAGACTTTCCTCTCTCCAGCACATCAACTCCTCCAGCCCAGTGTGTCACCCCACATGTTATAGAGTGGGGATGATCCAGCTGTTGATTCTGGAATTGGAATTCAAAAATACACCAGCACCCCAAAACTCCCTGGTCTCCTCACCATTTAGTAAGATCCTATCTCCTCCAGTTAGACATGAAGCCTTGGCATGGCTACCTAAAAGAGAGGCTAGACAAAATTAAGAGAATAAAAACAGGTATTTATTGAAAGTAGATACACCTTGGGCAGTCAAAAGCCTCCCAGACGGGCTGCACCCAAGACAGATGTCAGCCACAAATTCTTCATGCAATTATAAGTTTGGTCCATTTACCTATCAGGGGTTAATCCTCCAATTACAGTTTCAGGTAATGAAGTCATTTCCCCCCAATTTTCCCCCATTCCTCCAACTCATTTTTGTTTATACTTTTCAAGAGCCTGAGACAGTGAGGTGTCCTTGATTCCCAGGCCTAGAAAGGAATTGTCTTGTCTGACCAAAATGTGAAGACAGTAGCTAACAATCTATATGGAGTTTAGAGTTATACACTAAAGAATTGTAGTATTACAAATACATGAAAAATAGAAAAGCTAAAATCCTAAGGCATCAGACATGCTTGCCACAAACATTCCATTTCAGTCTGGGAGGACACACCAGGGCAAAGAAGTCTGTGGAGAAGCCAGAGGTCACAGCAGACTTGGTGGAACTGTTGGGCAACGTGGGAGTCCCAAAATCAGCCCCCAGTCTCATCACTCATCTCTGCCCTTGGCTCTGCACAGCCAAGGAGGGCACACCACAGCCTCTTCACCCCACAACCCCACAAGCTGGTGCTGCCCTTGGGGCTGGTATTGTCAGCCTAGTGGTCCATGAAAGGTTGACAGCAGCCCCAGAGGCTGGGAGTGTGGAGCGAGCAGGAGCTGCAGCTCAAACCTGAGACCTGGAGAGACCAGCAGGAGCAGAACTGCTTGGAGCAGCTCTGGCTGTATGGGAGTGTGAGCAGGGATTCCCCCCAGTGCCAAGGGACTATCACCAGTCTTCCACAGTTACAGACACTGCTTTTCTGTTCCTTGAGTCTACAACAGATGTCACCAGGAATGGGAATGCATGTGTTTCTACAGGAGACAATGCTAAAATCATGGAATTATGGGATCATAGAGTGGTTCAGGTTGGAAGAGATGCTTCCTGGAGTTGCTCTTTGGGTCCCTGTCTCAGTCATGGTGTCCTCACCTGATTTAAGACTCTGTCTCAACCAGTGCATTCTCAGATGTAGTTTGGATCCCTGGCTCAGTCGTGACATTCCCAGAGGAGGTTTGGTCCCTGCCTTAACCACAGTCCTCAGACTGAAATGAGTCATGGCTCAACCAGCACAGGTCAAGCCCCAACACAGGGCCAAAAGCTCCTGGTTTTCACTGGGATAGGCAAAGCACCATTCTGTCAGCTGGGACACCAATTCACCAGGGTTTTCAGCCTGCTGAAGTGTAAAATCCCAGGATATGGGAGGTGAAAACTGCTCTGGGCACTTGCCCAAACCCTTTCACATACCCTGTCACTCAGGCACCATCCACCTCAGGGATTATTTCATGGTTCTCTCATGCAAAAGTTGTCTCCTCTCATGCCAAGATGACACTGGATTCCACAAACTGACAATAAGCCAACAGTGTTAATTAACACTACTGTTAATTTAGCAGCTCAGGTGAGGGTAAACAAGGACTTGGGGAGCCTGCAAAACAAAAGAACTTGTTTCATTCATGGATGGGAAGAGGGATGTGTATTCCCTCTCCACTCTATTGCTCCCCCAGCACAGCAAGGGCATTG